AGAAGATTTCCAAACCGATGGCTGGATGAGTTGAAGAAGCTGATGGAATAAGACAGATGTGAATCACATAGAATTGAAGCTAATGGCAAAGTCTTTGAAAGCCTTCATTCAGCAATTAATCCAAAAGACTGATGATGATGCAATTTTAAAGTGAGATAAATCGTTTATTATCAGTTATGCTTTTCAAAAATACTGAAAGATGTCATGAATGAACTGAGAGCAAAATTTGTTCATTTCGGCGAACAGATTTGCTATCAGTATACAGTAATACCCTATCTCTCTTGATAAGCACCTTAGTGACTTAATGTAGATGCTTCTACATAGGTAGCTTCATTCCTTCTTCGTCACTACAGATCAGTTTGGCCTACAAAGTACGGTGCTTATCTGGCCCCCATTCTTCTTTTCGACATCCTCCATACCATAATTTATGAGTTCTACAGCGAAATGCCGTTAAAATATTTTATCTCAAACTCTATAATGATTTCCATATTGCTACTTAATATGCTTTTTAGACAGTCTGACGTTTCAGCAATGGATCAATCTCTGAAAATTTGCAGTTACTGTAACCTCATGTTGCGTTGAGGTATGCTTGCATCAGCGGTGGGAATTGACTGCGGAAATCTACCGATGCCCAAAAGAATACAAAATGGTCAACTGGGACGATCACTAAGCCATACAGCTCACCAGAGCAATTAGCAGTGTAGAGGAGGATCTACCCAAGTTTCAGACAGAATTCCAGAATTGCAATCTGCGAGAAACGGATCAGCACTACTGATTGCTACTACGTATACCAGCGCAAATCAGCGCACAAGGCGTATCACGGCATTTTAACAAAACAAATTTTAAAGAACCCCACAGATGCCATGAGGGACATCAGGAAAATATACAAGCATCCAAAATTTGATTCTGGAACCAACATCGCTTTATTAGAAGTTTGGAATAGTGTTATTTTTGAATGTGAAGATGATCGGATGATCCTTATCAGATTCTGTCTGCATTGTATTCTGATGCAAGCTGTAGTCTAGTGATTTCAATCATTCAATTTTGGCGAGAGATCTTCATAATGGCATCTAACAATACCTTAGAAGTGATGGGATGGACTGTACGTCGCAGTTTAAATACGATTCTGATTTGCGCGTCGAGGAGCCGTTGTTTCATATCTACTATGCCTACCGTCCATGGGTATAACAGAAAGGTTTGCTTACGCGTTGCATAAATTGTTGGGCAAATTTCATCCAATAGTTCAAGCACTTAGGATGTAGACAAATGAGCTGGTTTGCACTCTACGCGCTTATAACTTTTTATAGTAATAGCGGGCCGCACAGGTCCTGCTAAAAGTTGTTTCCGTGCGCGGCTTTAGCGAAGATGTTTTTCATCTTTAGGAATGAAGCGATACTTTAGAGGGGCGAACAATAAATACAAGAATACTGATTTATTGTTCATTTCATCACGCCTACACTAGTTCTTTCAGTTTCTCACTGTTCGATATATTCCTTCCTTCCTGTGACGATGCCCCATTGCTTGTAAAATAACAACTTGCCACCCGTTTCTCAACTGATTGCACCGAGGTGTTGTTGAGCAAGTCAACTGCTCAAAGGAATTCAGGATTACGACATGGTTTGACGTTCTCCGTAATCCAACGAAGGCAGTGCTTCTTCAGAACTAACCATTTTGCCACTGCGCCAAAAATTATAAAAGAACGGTTGCATCCGATGGCCGGATGATATCATTAAATTGGTTTGCGGTAAATTAGGTGAACCGTTTCATTAATCACAGTGAATTTTGTGCGTAAGATATCGCTATCGACCCATCCCTAAGCAAATCAGCGTACTGGACTGACGTCAGTAAGTCATAGCAGCTCGATGAAATACGATAGTCTATTATCAGATAGTGCAGTCAGCGATTAGGTGTATCAATTCGAACTAAAATCCTACGAAGCGTTTCGTTCACAGATCGTACATCTCACCAATTCTGGTATGTTTACCGCAAGTCGCTATTTCAACAATTTGCTGTCCGTTACCAAGCTGTTTACTCCAAAGCACAGTGGAGTGATTTCTTAGATCAGTGGGATTAGCAGTTAAAAAGAAAAGGTATGGAGTATTCGCCCACCATTTGTAGAGTGCAAAGCAAGCCACTATGCTACTGAGCCACAGCATCCCCTTCTATGTTTCCTCATTTTTCTAGCTTCCGCCAATTTTCTAGAAATATTTTTGTCTCCGAA